ACATGTCTTTTCAATACATGGCGGGTAGGAGGCTGTACTGATGATTCCCCCTCCTACCCGCATGCAGTGTTCGGCCTGTGTATACAGCTATGGGATGAAACACAGACTGCATCATTAAATGTCTTATACATGACACCTAATTCCAATCTTTTTACTCCACTATTCCACTCGGGCTACTTCTTGAGTGCTTCCACTCCTCACTGGGAGCGAACACGGAGGGAGTTTTTGACTTTTGATAGAGCTTCTAACAGTAGATTTCTCACACTTTTTAGCAGCTTCAGCTTGTCTACTAGCAACATTTTTATCAATACGTATATGCAGGAATGGTGTGGAAGTTATATTACATGGCGCTGTCTTGTTTTGCTGTTTTTTCTTTGAGTTTTCGATAACTTTTTTCTTATTATCATCCTCATTATCATTTGCTGAAATTTCAGCTCAAACATTTCAAGTTCATTGTCGACACACTTGCGCCGTATACAGATGTTCATCGCTTCAATACGTATATCGTGGCTGCCTCGCTGAGATGTCTGATGCGATGGTATACCCGAACACCGGATTCTCTTAAGCCAGCAGTGCAAACTTATATATTGATGAGAGTATGAATGCTTTCTGTAATGTTGCAATTTTAATCAATTCTTTTAGCTTGGAATATCTGGATGGTCCAATTTGTGTTTCAAAGTACCCCGTTGGCAACTTTTCCAGTTGGTCTGACTAGTGCTGCATCACCAGGTGAAGGGATGTTTCCTGATAGTCCTGACGGCCAGCCTGAAGTTCTTTTAGCTAGAAGCATCTGTCGGAAAAAACAGTGCCGTTAACGACAAAAACTGCGGGAAACTATGCCAAAAAACGCGTCTTCGCACGGGCAGCCCGTGCGTTGGCCAATTATTTACGATATTGAAACTCTTGTGTCGTTAGTGTTCCAAAAGTCCTTTTTTCTTGCAGATCAAGGAAGAAGTACGAAGCAAGCGAATGCCGGACTCGGTCTACACAACGGAGGAGTGTGATGAATTTTTATTGTCAGAGTGCGACACATCCTTTACGAATGCTTTTACGTTAGATTCAGCCAGCTGCAAAAGCAGTACTGCTGATAAGGATGGTAATTTAACGGAAATGGTTAGATTTTTTTTTTTTTGGTCGCAATATTTTTGTTTTTCTGTCAACGTAAATGATTGTACCGTCGTTCTGTTAATTTGTGGTACGAAGACGAAAGGAAGTAAATTTGTACTGTTTTGTTGGGAATTCTGGATTTATGAGTGTGAGGAAAAATGCGAAAATCAAGTTGAAGGCGTGAATTTATCCAAAATAGCATTGAATTTTTCCATTTGGTTGCAGAGTTTGCTAATAGATAGGAAACACGTGAGAATTTTGGAAAAAAAAAAAGGAAAATTTACTCTTATAAAAACTAAATTCGTAAAAGGCTAGAAACTAAATGCAAACGAATCAGAGAAATTTGAGTGACAGGCACGCTTCAATTAATGACCGCCATTGTGACCGAAGCCGGACATGCACTTGCGAGCCGTCGAAAGCTAGCTTGCCACTACCCTAGTTATTTCCAAACACAGTTTTGCAGTGCATGTTAAAAAGAAATTTAGATGTTCCAAAAAAAAGTTTCATTGAATAGTCAACTAAACTGATATGTTCACTGCTGAAAAGCTCCGAGGCCTTTCAGTTAGCGGAAGAAACGTATAAAGCTCTGGAAACATTCATGAAGCACCATAGAGTAAGTGATACATCAACAGGACGAACAATACCACTGACAAGGCTCGTGGAACGGTGCACCAGTCATTGGGTTATCAACGATGTTGTCGTATCAGTCACGAATTTTACCGACAGTCAGCCAACGCTCAGAGCTGTCCACTTCACTGGTTTGTGTCATTTTGATAACAGTTAGCATGATGAGAACGGGGTTGTTTGCATACCTGGAATACTTGTAATTATTGTCATCGATCGTAGTACGGAGTTGTCGGGGAAAATGGGGCTCAAAAGAAAAAGACGAACAAAGGAAGAAAATAAGTGGGAATTGGCATAAAATTATTGCTTCACGATACCGTAATCCAAAAAATGATTCTCTTTGTAACAGCGGTGCCGCTGTCAATCAGTGGCAGCAACGATAATTATGATTCAATTTTTTCGGTAAGCTGAACCCACCTGGAGCAAGGCGGACCTCTAGATGGGCCTAGTTAGCGACAAAAAAATTTTTCGACAAAAAAATTAGCGTTAACATTTCGACTCGGCGAAGGAGGGCGTCCACAACAAAGCTCCACTCTTTCACTACCAGTAACGGAGATATTCCTGTGGACAAATCAGCTGTCTTATTACCACCAAAAATCGCGACGATATTTGCTGCCGGCTGAGGCTGCTTCTCGGTCATCCACAGCAAACCGAGGCCATAGCCTCCACCGCTTTTTATATTATTTTCATTGTGTATATAAAACTATTGTTGCCTCCAGTTTATTAAAGCTTTTGGGGAGGCCATTCAAAAATAAAAATAGAAAAAGGAAAAAAAGTCGGAAGTTTTGTTTTCATCACAGGAACGCCATTTCTGCAGACGGCAGCCTTTCGATAAACCTTTTGCTTTCAGCATCCGCACCACTTTGTACATAGGAATTATTGGGCGATTCCAGCTTGCCGATGACCTTTACACCGCTTTTTCTAGCTCAGCTTGCCTACCACTTAGCTCTTTTTCTCATTTATTGAGACGAAACAACAGCGAATTTTTAGATGGCAATGCGGAAGATTCGTCGGCTGATGTGCAGAGCAAAGACGTGTCAAAGTTCGACACAAGGCGTCGCCATCAGTCAGCAGTTCATCCCCCAAACAGGCAATGTTTCCCCCTATTTGACTTCTTTTAAGTTAACAATTCACTGTGGCATATAAACAGAACAAGACAACTTTTTTGTTCGACGGTGAAAAATACGCCGTTCCTCTCTTTTAATTTTTGTTTATAATTATAATCCATAAAACATTTATTTCTTGGTGATGTAAACATAAATTCTTAATTGATGGTAAAAATTAATAGAAAATGTTCTAACAAATAGATTGTGGTGCGATAAAATTTTCTAAAAAATTTGAACATACATCTTTATGTTACGTTCCCCTGTTACAACAATGCAGGCATGAAATGTGTGTAGTAGTGAAAGAACAAGTTTTCGTTTCAGAAAGCCCGTAGCTCCAGCTCGTAATGCATTAGATGATTCATGTACTGTGGTAAAACCTGAAGCGAAAAAGTTACCCATTTCAATGGTTGTATGGACTCAGATTACAGTACGGCATATTTTTGGGTCGCATTCCTGGTATATGCGGTCAATGAAAGATGTGATTGGCGATTTTGGAATAGGTATTAATATTATTCATGCTTTTTACACAGCAGGGCGAAAATTGCTAGTCGCCGAAAAAAGCAGCTGAAAAAGATTTTTAATTGGCGATCACGCATGAATCGCTGATCAGATAAATCTGGCGGAAGTTAGGGTGGGCCGCACATAAGGAAGGGCAAATGTGTGGTAGTTCGTTCATTTCTCGAAAAGGTTCCGAGTTCACGCAGTACTTTTCTTAAGTTTTCAATTCGAAATTATCTAGAAGAGAAGGCCAGAAGAAGTGGTGGATTCAAAAGAAATATATGTCATCCACGACGCAAAAATAAGGCAAAATGTTTTACAGATCCTAGCAGTAAGCCCAGCAAAATCGCACTTAAAAAGTTGCAGTGACAGAATCGCTTACGGAATTACCGTCCCAACATAACATTTTCACAAGGGGAAGTCGTAAATGTTTTCGAATAATTTTTTTTTCTCGTCTCCCTACAATAACATAATTTTCGGCAGTGTTTGTCTGCGTCTCTTTTTGGCTTCTCATCAAAATTGGCCAATTTCGAAATTGATGAGTTTGAAACAGTATAAATGTTATGGAAATTTAAAAAAAAAAAAAGAAAAATGTAAATCATGAAAGTTTGTTTGACACTAAAGGCCAGCCAGTGAGTGGGACACAGTCGAATACTGTCAATTGTGGGAAAGCAGGGAGTGCTAATTTAGATGCTCAGATAAGCGAGCGTGTATGTGCTTTGCTGTTGTCCAGTCTGTGTTTCATCCCTAAACTGTAAACACAGACGGCAGAGCCGGTGCGGAATGGGGTGGGATCCATCAGTACAGTGCCCCATTCCGCCATGTTTAAACGAATATGTGATTTTCCGTAGGAAAATGAGGGAAAAAGAAAGGGAGTGGCGGTGACTGTGCTTAAAATAACTGTTACAGAAGTAGAAATAAAAATAAAACTAACATGCAGCATATACGTCTCTGTCTTCGTTCTTTTCGCCGGTGGTTAAGTAGATAATGCCATTTAAGCTAAAAACCATCAATAACATCAATTAATTGCATGTATGTTCTGCCACTGAAATCTGAATCCAAGCGGTGATGTCCTTATTGGTTTTGTAGGTTCATTATGGACCGACAAAGATTTCTAATTCCCTCTTTATCCACGTTAGTGATTTATTTAGAATGGCACGATTCGGAAACAGAATTTTAAAAGAACTCTCTCTATTCTATTAGTATCATATCCTCGACATTGATAGGTTTTATTGAGTCGTCTGGCTCACCACGTGAATCTGTGGATTATACTGTAAATTCTAGCATAACAGAGCATCTGAGACATAATTATACCATCCATGTATAGAGGGGTCAACATCACTATCAGGGTGGCTGGTTTGGTTGACGGGGAAGGAGTGATCCAGAGTTTTATTGTAAACATTAAACATGCACCGTCCATCAACACAGCTGATTGCCAGGTCAAGAAAATAGGCGTACGGTCCGGAATAAGTAGTATTTAGTTTAAGTGTAGTTGACAGAATATTGTCAATGTAGCGGAAGAAGCAGAGCCCAATATTGGGATGTCTACAAATGTAACGGAATTCCATCACGAATAGCGTCAGATTCGCGATGTCGGGGCTAGCATTTCCGCTCGTGGGGACACCTTGTATCTGTCTGAACAGATATCCTCCAAACCTGACGTAGGTTTCGGAGAGGATGATACGTAGGATCGCCTTCTCTTCGTCTTCAATGTATCAGGGCAAATCAGTACGAATTTCATTAGTGAACCATAGTGATTTGAACCCAACAGACACATATTCCTTACACGCGTTTGAGAAACATAGGTCTATCAAATAATTCAAATTGTTGGAAATTTCAGTATGTGGAAAGTTTGTAAAGAGATTGCTAAAGTCCGCAGAGTAGAGATGAGTAAACTTGCGCTTGAAAGAAATGGTCCAAATATAGTGCAAACTTCTTAACAAAAACTCTGCTTTCCAACCAACCAGTATAAATTCTTTGTAGCAAACGATTTCTATGGCGTTGATGAAGGCATGTCAATAGTGAAGCTTCTTGCAGCCAACAACAAAGCTGTTCAAATTCCAAGCAGTGAAAAAAGCAAAACGTAATTTTTTTTCCTTTGTTTTCCAATGAGTTTTTATTGCAGAAGGAGTATAGAACTGCTCATTTAAATACTCACTTGAAGAGCTGCAGCAGTTGCTGATTTATGCTCTGATTCTCCAGAGCGGATTTTTTAGGCAGTTCACAATTTTCTAGTTGCTCTGATCACTGCTGCATTCCTCGGTGATCAGTCTGCTGACATTCCTTACGTTCCTTTTATCTTCTGAAAGATCAACAGAGCAGTCCTTCCTTCTGAAGTACCTGACAAGATTTTAGCCGTCCCCAAGTGAAGTGTTAAGCATCATCACCCTGCCTCCCATGTTGTCTCTTTTGTATTTGAATGTATTTGGCAAAATTGCTTGGATCCTGCTCCATCTCCCCGTTTTGCATCAGCAACATATTGACATAAATTTCTAATTGTAGATTACGATCATTGCGCAACCTTGACCGAATCTCGCCACTCGAACTGCACACTGTTGGCGTGGTTTACATTGCACATGGCCAGAAAACTGAGTGCGAAATTTTGGCAAATTTGTACGGTTCGGCACGCTACGAAAACTTCATACGGTAGAGCATTTTCTCATTTTTTCTGGTCATTTTGCTGTTTTGAATTTTTTCAGCTTTCCTTATGTACAAACAGCCCTAATTTTTTAGCCATATAACAGTTCTAAATGTACGACAGGAAGTTCGTTCTGCTGCAAAAAAAGTTTTCCAGAATGAGTTCAGAAATTTGAATAAACAGAGAAAAAAATCTTTGTTTTTACATTTGCCTGAAATGATTGTTCCCAAAAAGAATCGAAATTTCTTTTTTTATTTTTGCTATTTGTATGTTTTTTTCTGAAAATTTATTTGTATTCCTTTGTTCTTTATTTCAGCCTGTTGGGGGAGCCGCTGTCCCTGGAGAATTGTCCAGGTGGCCTTTCCATTGGGTGCTGTGGCTCTTTCACGTATGCATACATGGACGAAATTTCGAAAATTATTTTTCACGTTGGTATGTTACAAGTGTTGTTGAGAAGAATTACTGGGAATAACAGTCTTACTATTGTAGTTATTTTTACGGCAGAAAAATGCTGAGACAGATTCATGTGTTTAGCTACGCTGATGCCACACAGCGACAGCGATCCGTCCTGTAATGCGAAGAAAAAGTTCATTGGTAACGACTTCGTGTCAGTTGTTTTCAATGACAGTGGCACAGACTATACCCTTGGTACGATCAGTGGAAAATTCGCACATGTTGCATTGGAGGTAAGAGTTTGTAGCAGATGCGCCCAGTTTAACTTCCACTCGATCACATTTCCTTGTTTGCTTCTTTCGTTCACCTCTTAGCGACCTCTTGAACTTCCCGTAACGGTCATGAAGCGCTGAAGGCGATCTCTGAGGAAAAAAAGGACTGTTTTGATTCTTAACACGCAGTAAATCTCAGCAAAGTAATTACTTATTTGTCCTGAGCACCAAATCCTCTTTTATTTCTTGGGGAAACCCGTATTCAAACACCCATTTATTCTCGTGCAGGCTTCTTTTTACAGGTGGTGCCGCAGGACAATGAGCACTTACTTATAACAGTACATTCGCGTCAGGAGATCGCACTTTGGCTGGCGTTTTCGCGTGCATTTCTACCGGACAAGCAGGCGGCAGTGCTGGTACGAAAGCTCATTATACGAGCACAGCTATCGGTTAATGTTTGGAGGCGAGAGCAAGAGGAAATGGGACCACCATACTT